CAGTTGTTATGCGCGAAAGTTCGCGACTCATCGCTAATAATCGTCAAACGTCGTCAGATTAACGAAAACGCAATCTAATCGTACAGCATAATGTGTACGGCGTGGTAAGATTACGAAATTGATTTCTTTTTTGATAAACAGCGAGAAAGTGTCATTCATGAATTTAATGCTGTCCATTGGCGACACAAGTAATGCTGACAAAGCTCGATAAGTATGTTATGACGCGACAAAAAGAGAGCGAGATGTGCAAAATCGTTGATGGGCGATATAACAAATTTGTCATCTGCATCATGACTGTCTCGCGATTATATGAGGAGCTTATCGAAAAAGATCAAATGTTCGCGAGTGATTACGTGTGTATATTTACGGTAAAACTCGCTAGATAATCTCCGACAAGTACTGCAGTTTATTCTTGTTAATCTCTCTTCGTGTCATCTTTCTTTTTGAACATACAACGTAAACAAATTATAGATGCAGAATGATTGCTGTTAGAGTTGAACAAGCACTTAACGATTAAATTGAAGAAAGATGTTTCCGTTACAAGGCATGTGGAAGTAAATGAAAGTAAATGAAAATAAGACGTATTAAAAAAGAATAATTTAATTCAATATATGTAAAGCAAAAATTTCGTACATATTTATAAATACATATAAATTACACATTCATTATGTTTCACATTAACAAATAACGTTGTTTTCTATTTCGCTGACAATTATGTGGTTAAACTATTGCCGTTGTGAATTTCTCTTTTTTGCTAGAGATGTTTAGAGACGATTTTCTAATATAATATAATTTGTAAATAACAAAAATTGTCAATAATAAAGTTATTATAGGTATTATAGATTCCTTCATTATTATAACAAAATAATGAACAAATATATGGGGAAGTAAAAGTTCACGCAGTAATCGATGCGCAAATTTAATCATACAATAATTAGTTCATTATATATAATAATAATTTATGTGTCTGGACGCATTTCGATTTATTTCAAGTCATTATCAACGGCGATTTATTTGATTATACATGGTTTTGTAGAGATGCAACAGTCACGATGCCATTCATCTTATCAAAAAGATTCCTGCGTTCTTAGTAGTTTGACAAAAATTGTGACAATTATAAAATTGATTCTAAAATTCGAAACTCTCCTGAGTTTTCCTTTAATTCTTCAACCGGCACATTTTCTATATAATCCATTTTTTTTACACATTAAAGTAGATAGATTTTAGAACAATTTATAGTAATTTGAAACGTAATATATAATTGAAAAATATAATTGAAAAATTCTGAGATTTAAGAGTTAATCCATTGACATCTATTAATCTATGTCGAGCATTAAAATCGTATCGTTCGACAGCTTCAATCCAAAGAAACTGTCGAGAAATCATTAGAAATCAATGGTCAGGTTCTAAATTGCATGTGTCATTAGCTTTATTACTGAACAACGATGATGCGTGAGATTTAGCACAGAGCAAAATCACATCTGTTCGATTTATCTCAACGCAGCGACGCACATATTAGTGTCTGATTAATGTCTGACGCGTGTCTGACACTTTATTTAAAATTAATTAATTTAATATTGGCATTACAAAAATAGAATTTATTTATTTAACATTTATCTGCAATTATTCATTAACGTATTTTTAAGCTGTCGATTTTTTTGCGAAATATAATTTATAGTGTGCTGAATTAGAAAATTTGTAGTGCTACAAATTTTAAAATTCAAGCAATTGTAATCTTGTTAAAAATAAACGAAATTTCAATTTTAAAAAGAATTTTTAACCTTAAAATCTCTACGTTCGAAAAATTTTGTATCCTTTGAGTATCTATAAGTTGATAATTTGATAATTTTCTATATAGTCGACTACAAACTTAACAAAATGAGAAATTTTCTTCTCTATCTGTAAACCTGTCACAAGCCCAAAAAAATTACAAAAATTCGACTTTCTAAGTGAAAGTTTAAAATTTTTATTTTTTTAAAATGTTGCTAAAATTTTTTGTTACTGAGTTATCATAACTTAAATAATAAAAAAGCATTTTGACTTTAATTACTCATAATTTCACCAAAAAATCATCATATCGCAATTCAAAAGACAGACTCTCGAAGTTGAAACTTTGCGAATGTTATAATTGCAAATTTTTTTTTAAAACATGTAGATACAAAGTAGCGCTACGAACTTTTGTTCCAATACCCAATTCTGCATTAAATGGATTAGATATATCGGGATTTGCTAAAACGTACAATTGTTTGTATCAATAGAGATTGCTTCTTTTTCAAGAATGTAGGCTGAGGTAAGTGAAGATTCGTGATGCATTAATTTCACACATTTCACGTTCAGCGTCGTTGCATATGTGAATCTCTGACATCGTTGTGTTCACTCGAAAGAAGCGAAAACAGTGATTTATTAGGTCGTATAGAAAACGAGGCGAAAAAGGAAAATGCGGAGAGGTAATGGAAGGAGAAGGACGAAAGCGCAAGGGAAGGAGGAAACCGGTTCACATCCGTGCGTAAAGTCGCAGCGAAAACACGACACAATAACGATGATTTCGCGATAACGCCGAGATTCTTAAATGATATTCGCAGCTTCCTGACCTATTGCGTTCACGTCGAAGACTTTGATCAACGATTAGAATGACATGTAATATACGTATATTCCGTGTGCGTAAACGTGAGCGGAAAGAGTTATCCGGGAATCCCATCCGCACGATTGTAGGATTGCTGTAATCTTTGACTCTCTCTCAACACACACTCGCACACATACGAATTTCTAATAAAATATATTAGATATAAATAAGTAATCCACTATTTTTATATAAATTTAATATTTATTTCGACTCCTGACCGATGTAATATTTTTCGCAATAAATTTATTTACAGTTTTCCAGTACATTAATCATCTTTTTAATAGGGTGACAGATTGAGCATCAAATTATTAAATGCTTATCAATTTAATTTGTGATATTATTATAGTAATTTAATTGTGTTTATAAATCCGAAAAATCATTTTGGCGCGTAATTTAAATGACTACATATTTTAGTATATAAATTCACATAGAAATTATTTAAAAGCATCTAAGATCCAGTTTCAACCATAATAAGCATTAAACTTTTACTTGTTGTATATTCACATATACAGTCTTAATACATCGTTTATCAATATTTACTGCCAAAACATATCGACATAATTTAACCATGAAAATAATACATATATTTTTAATATTTTTCAATATTTTCTTTCACTTTTCAGAATTATAAATTTCGACTTGACAGAAAGATTGTCTTTACTTGTGATGAATTCATAAATTTATTTCCTTTTTTTTTCTGATATTTTTTTTAAATTATTTGTCAAACATAGCATGTTGCATCGACCAGAACCTAACCTAACCAGAACAAATGATAGTTTGAAGGCATTACATCCTTTGAGTACGCTGGGTGCGGTAAAATATCTTAACCATGTTGCAATAATATCTTTGATTTGCAATAATATCTTAATATCAATTTCGTCACAAGAAACCGAGCAATGCTCATTTCGGTCTCATAAAGCAAAATTAGTTTCAATTGGTATTCACGTAGCACCTTCAAATTATCATTTGTTCCGGTCGATGTAACATATATTTTGTCTGACAAAAAATTTAGAAATGCTGAAAAAATAAAAAGTGGCTCGAATTCATTATTTAAATGAGTGCGGAAAAATGTTATTCGGCCAAAGCAAATCTTCGTACTTAATAATACTTTTTGGGAATTAATACAATTTTCAATTCATGTCAATTGTGTGCTAATTATTTGTCGATATTGAAATATACAGTCTTAGACTAAAGCTGGAGTTATATCATAAATTAAATTGACAAGCAATCGATAATATTAAATTGAACAATTTAATATTATTGATGGTAACGAACATCTTTAAAACTCTGTAAATCATTTCTTGCAAAAAATTACTTCAGCCGGAGTTCAAACCTGCATTTCTCGAATTCCGTGCTGGCGTCTAGAAATTCATTACAAATAAAAACTAATCTTTCATCAAATCAGAAGCTTTTACATATAATACGAAAAAGAAGAAAACAGAAGTTGAATCAATTTCTAAAAAAAAATTTTTTTGTTAAACATTAATTTTCCAATTGTTTCTCTATTTTACAGCTTACAGCCAATTAAGGAAAATCTAATAAGCTTAAAAATCAATAGAATTTTCTCAAAATTTTTTAATAACATATATATTTTTTTATTTTATTATATAGATTACTTTACATGATCTCCTATAGCGATACAAAAATTTTCATTTACAAAATGAATTTTTTTTTAAATAATGTACACTCACATGCGCGTAACTTTTTTTATCAAAAATAATCGTAAATTAAAAGATCTTATCCGAACAAGAAATTAATTCTTGTCCGAATCGGATTTGACTAAACAATCTGTATGAATGTAAGTCATCAGGGCTAAGTTATAATTGACAATAAACCGGATTAAATTAGGTGCCTTGATTTGCACATACTTAGAAATTCCATAAAACTTTAGGGTAATAATTTTTTCACTACTAAATGAAATGTGGTTCCTGCACGCATTAATTCTTCATCGAATTATAAAGAACGATCATATCTTCCTAGTTATGCGCTTAGCTGATTTCAGAAAGATGTAAAAAAATCTCCTAAAGAATGACCTTTATAATCTATGTTAACAATATTCGAAAATATATAAAAAATATATACTATGTATTTTATATATTCATTTTCTCTCTACATAACTACAAAAAAATGAAACTTTTCCTTTGCACTCAATTTGATAAATAAATGTTTTGAGTATATCATCTATTTTTCATGCATTATATAAAAATAAATGCAGTATAAAAATATTCCAAAATTAATAAAAATCTAAAAGTAATATTTACAAAGTTTTTTTAGAAACATCTGCTTAGATTTAAAATATTTTAATTCCCGATGAAATCTTATAATTATAAGATTATATCATAATTACATTTTTAATAATATTGATTTGTATTTTTAGAGATGGCGTCGGCGGCAGCAGAATTAGTAGCAGAGAGAGAGCCGGAGTTGAGGATCGAGATGACAGATTCAAATAGGACATTCGGAAGTGCCCAGGGTCTAGTCAGAATGGCTCTGGATCAATACACGGAAATTCTCACGACAGTTTCCGATCCACGTGTTAGCGACTGGCCGTTAATGGATTCACCCGTTCCGACAATCCTTATCGTGCTCCTTTATTTGTACGTCGTTGTCATATTCGGCCCGCGTATGATGGCCAACAGAAAGCCATATAAACTCAGAGGAGTCCTGGTAGCATATAACGCGTTTCAAGTCGTCTTCTCACTAGGAATGATGTACGAGGTAAACATTTTTTTATTATTTTCAAAAAAATAAGATAAACTTATCATGAATATATTATAAAAGTGCATAATTTGGAAAAATATTCGCTTGGAAGGTCTGTGCAAATTTTCAAAGTTTAAATAAAAATATTTTTTATTTAAATTTTTAATCTGTAATATACATTTTATATACATTTTATATACATTTTATATCCACAATGTTTTTCTATTTTGTAAATATTTTCATAATCCTTTTCATACAGAAATCGAATTTTTGAACAAAGCAGAATTTTTAAAAATTATTTACACTGTAAAAAGTGCAGTGTTTAAAATATCTTTGCAAAACAAACGTTTAATAATAGAAAATTGTTCAATTTTAAACGTTTTTTAATCCAAACACATAGTGTTCTGTTTATTGAAAAAATTTAAAACTAAAACATTTTTAAAAAACGTAGACAAGAATAGAATTTTTTAATATTTTAAAATTGAACACTTCCTTTTTGAATATACTGAAAAATTCGCACAAACTTTCAGACAACTTAATCAAACGTCTTTTCAAAATATTAACTGACTATTATTATATATATTAATAGACTAACGTAATATATCTAATTAAATACAATAAGGAAAATTGGTCTAATTTGAAATCGCTATATTATGAAACGAAATATAATAGAGGAGTTGAAAGAGATATAATCGATAGGCAAACAAATATTCAGAATCAGGAAAGTAGATGAAGAAGCGCATAAGTTAGAAATCTTATAATTTATGGAATCATACAATCCATGGTAAAAACAATGGTATAAACAATACTCGTAGAAAATGCAAAAGAAATGGAAGGAATAAGAGAGAAAGAAAAAGAATGAGAGCATTAAGGGAAAGAGAAAGAAAGAGCCTCGAGACAACCTTCCATGTCACCCTTGACTTTCGCGTTTTCTTACATCCATTATTAAGTTCTCGTTATAGCGTATATAACGTGCAAAGTTCATGAGTGCCGACGATCCGGCAGGATCTAAGGCCTCAGCTGACGGTTGGAAGCCGGTCAAACAACTCACTCGTTATATATATA